GGCCAGAGCCTCGTACCAGCACAGCTACCCCGGACCTTTACAACAGCCGCTTCCCCACAGCAAAGCTGGACCCCTCAGTAACCAGCCCCCACCCTCCCCGACAGCCCAGCCCAAGAACAACTACCCACAGCACCACACAACGCCCGCACCCTCCCTGGCCTCCAAAGCTCTGTCTTCCGAGTCCCGGAGCGCAGCCCCGGCCCAGCCACACCACACACCCCACCCCCAGCAATGGTTGTATAAGGACCAGTGATAACAGAGCTTTTCCGGGGGAGCAGGGAGCCTGGGTTGGCGCTCAGTTAGTGTCAAGAAGGCCACAGCTGGCAGGCAACATGCAGCATCAGCAGCTGCACCACGTAGGTGACGGAGCCCTGGGCGCGGGGGTGGAGCGACACCCAGAGAAGCAGCAAGGAAACAGGAAAGAGGTCATAGCCTGGTGATGAGAAAGGGAAAGAAGAGGGAAGAGGGGACCCACGGGGAGCAGGTGGGCCTGGGAAGGCCCTTCCACAATGGAGCACTTGGGTCTGATGCTTCATAGGGGCCCTGTCCCCTCCCCTTCCCTGGGAAGACCCTCTTTCTCCCTCTCAGGGCACTGGTGTCAGAGGACATAGAAGCCCAGAGAGGAGGAGAGAGGAGGGACCTCAGGGTTGGGAAGCCCGAGGGTGGGGGCCAAAAGGGGCAACAGAGCAGATAGAGATGTGGGCAGAGACAGGAGAGAGAGAGAGAGAAAGGAAGAGATGAGGGAGAAGCTGTAAGTAAGGGACTTAAGATCACAGAGAAACAGAGTTGGAGCAGAGAGGGGAAGGCACAGTGGGGAGGACAGAGAGACACAGGGAGACAGATTTGGGATGTGAGGCTGAAATGGGTAGGGGTGACAATACTGGACACCACCCCAAGGACCCCCACAGCCCCCTGAATGCCAGCGGGCTCAGCCAGGTCCCACTGCACACAGGGCGTCCCTCCCGCTGTGTCCCAGTGAGCCCGGGCGCATGAGCCTCGTCAGCCTCAGTGTCAGAGGGAGTCGCCAGCACTTCCATAAAGGAGACACCCTGGCCCCACCTGCAGCTCGTAGCTTCCCCACCAGGTCTGACCCCACCCCCAACACACACACAGACACACACACACGCACACACAGACACACACACGCACACACATGGGTGTCTTCCCAGGGACCAGGTCCCAGGGACTGGCTCAGGCTCAGGCGAGGTCCCCAGAGTGCAACCAGACCCCCTGGGAGGGTACGGAGAGCGGGAAGACTCTGTGGTCCAGCCACTGGGGACCCATCAAGGAGGCTTGGGTTGGCCAAAGCCAGAGCCGCCTACGGGGGTGGGGGGTGGGGCAGGAGGAGGCGGGGCAGGAGGAATGGGAGGCCTTTCTCTCTCCGCCAATGACACTCCCCTGCTCAAACGTCCTCTATGGCTCCTCATTGCCTTCCAGGTTTTCTGATTCCTTATCCTGGATTCACCCTCTCTTTCTGGCCAACCCGTCCAAAGAAACTGAAGCACAGAGAGATTAAGTCACTTTCCCCGAGTAACTTACTCATACTTTGAGTAAAGTCTAAGTTTTCCTCGTGGACATTAGTAAAATGGGGATGGAAATAATTCCAGGCAGAGGGAACAGTAAATGCAAAAGCTCAGAGGTTTGCAACATAAGATATGCTTGGGGAAGCCTGAAGATAATGCAGGAAATCGGTCAGAGCTGCTGGTAGGAAAGATCTTTCAAGTGGTTCTGGAGTGAACGGATTCAAGGGACAGGACTAGGGGCCTGGGAGACCCGGAAGGAGGCTGCCTTCTGCTCCATGCAGAGAACGTCCATGAAGCAGGGCAGGAGGCAAAAGCCAGAGTTGGGGAACTGAGCGATCTTGGCTTGGGGAACACCGCCATCTGGTGGTACATTTACGGAACTGCACCTTCTTTCATTGATTGGTTAATAGTCACCTATTCGCGCGCAAGCGTTCCCAGTATGACACCCAGAAGAGATCACTTTTAATAAATTATTTTCAGCAATAATCATAACACGAAATAATAATGATGACCATAAAAGAAATGCTGTGAAAATGTATTTCCCTTCTGATAGAATACTTCATATAACAATGTAAATAATTTTCCAGTAACTAACAAGGGAATTTTAATGAAACTGAAATGTCTGCAAGCAGTACAATTCTGGAAGCCAAAAAATTGTACCATTGATGTAGTATCTTTTTCTTGACCCATTCATTAGTTTTAAAGCCCTAAATTAAAAAACAATGCTTGCGTTTAACGGTGTTATTCAATTCAGTAATACAGTTAACTTATGAACTACAATGTGTTCTTACCAACTAAAAATATATCACATGGCTTTCAAGGCTTCACTGTTTTAAAATTTAAACACAAATAAGATCTTCATACGGTGACACAGAATGACAAATGGAAGTAATTTGAGTTTGCGGCTTTATCTTTTCAATTGCTTTTCAAAGGCTCGCCTTGCCTGTTTTGAATCTAAAAGCGGGAAGATACGGTCTGGCAGGGCTTGGAAAGCCTGGAACAACCCCAAACCATTACAGATTTACTCTCCAAACAAACACATAGCCTAGGTCTTTGTGGTCTGGAGTTGACTTTATAACGGGGGTCTCCGAATTAACTTTCAGGCAGAACACAAAGTTCATTAAAGACTCTACGAATATAAAGCTTACATGGAAATTATTCAAATTCAGTAAATGGTAAAATCAGAGTAAGGTCTGTACGGAAGTTGATAATCCCAGTGTCAAGGGCCTGGTTTCGACGATGTACTTACGTTTCACCGAGGCTCCTGGGTCTCCTCTTAAGCATCATCCACCTCGGGTGGGTGGGCCTCGGACTCCCAGCTCCACATTGCGGAGAAAGCCCCAATCCCCCACAGTCCCACAGAACAGCCTCAGGCATCCTAGACCTCCACGAATTTTAAAGAAGAAAAGAAAAGAAAATTTGCCTTCCCAGAAGCTGCAGAATATCTCCGCTCCTCTCCCAGGCTCCGGGTGGGATTCATGGCTGCCCTGGAGCCAGTGACTCCTCAGGGCCTGGCCTGGAGGAGGAGGCCCTGCTAGGCACCGGGGAAGAGGGGCCAACTGCGGGTGAGGAGGAGGGAGCAAGACGAGAAAAGAAATTCAGGGACCTGGCTCGTTTCCCCCGACCTGTTGGGTTCTGTGTTCCCACACCCCAGTTTTCCATGTGGAGATACTGAGGCAGCAAGAGCGTGCGGGAAAGTCTTCTCCCGAGCAGGACTGACCTCTTCCCTAAGAGCACCCGGTGATGAAAATCTTGCTGAGGAGGGTGGGGCCTGAATGATAGAATCACCTGAAGAGGCTTGAATAGGGTTGGGGCGTGGGTGGGGGCGGGGCGGCGCATGTTCGAATCTCCTCAGGTGATGCTAACATGCCGTGGGCCCGGACCGCATGTGTCTCACGCGGTCCACAAGGGTCAGGAAGCTGAGGCCAGCAGTGCACGCAGCCCCTCGGCCCGCAGGCTCACCGGCCACAAACCCCTCCCTTACACGAATAAGTTCCAGGGAGAGAAATGGAAAAACCAGCCCCCAGGCCCACATGAGAAAAGTTGCTTCCAGGCACTTCTCAAGGATCCTTTGTGAGAACCCAGCCCATTCCCTAATTCCACCCTCAGCCCAGAAAGATGAGGGACTCTCAAACAAGAGAGAAGCTGAGTTTATTACAATGGCTGAGGTCTTCTTGCCACCGGAGGACTCCCAGAGTCTGCCCTTCAGGGCCCAGAGGAAGGAGGGTCCTTGTTGTAAGCAACACGCCTCAGCTCAGGCCCACCCTGCCCGGGTCTTCCCTCCTGCCCCAGCCAGAGGGGACGGGTGGCACTGTGGGCCTGGGACCTCAGCCGCCCCCTTGGCGGAGCCCAGCTGGTGGGGGAGAGGAGGAGAGGAAGTGAGCTGGGCCCAGCCAGACTGCAGGTCCTGGGAGGGGGCCGAGGGGCCTGCAGGTCCTAGGCAGGCTGGGACTCAGGCACTGGCAGTCTCCGCCCCCTTCCCAGATTCCCCGGGCTCCTCCGCCTTGCTTGCCAAGCTGTAGTAGTAGGTGCGCATGCGCTGCTCCACGGTCTGGAAGTCTGGACGGTCCTCCCACCTGCGGGGGCGTAGGGGAGATCCAGGCCGCTGACCACACCCCCAGAACCCAGCGTCAGCTGGTGGGTGGACAGGCATGGGGCTCAGGAAGTCGAAGTCTGTGGGGCTGTCGGGGTGGTGGGGTGTTGGGTACTGGAGCCGCCTCTGTGGAGTGGGAGTACTTTCTAATAGAAGGGCTGATGCCAAGATGTGGGGGACCACATACTGAGTGTTAACTGGTGAAGACTTAGGGAAGGGAACTCACTCAATGTTGGGGAAACAACTGTTCACCACGGGGAGCTGGAACAGTGAATTTCAAAGTGCCGAGCATGTTTCTTTGGCCAGGGTATTTGGGTGCTAGGTGCGGGCACACACAGGTGTAAGTATGCTGCCCGTACCTGGGTACTGGGGATGGCTGCAGCTAGTGGAGAGTTGGGGCATTAATAGTACTGTGTGTGGGATGGCCGCGTATAGCATTGGGGTGTTAGATGCTAGCCTCCTGGGGTATTGGTGTATTGCGTGTTTCCTGATGGAGGCTGGCTTAATACACACTGGAGTCGTGAGGGGCTGATCATTTATTATCCATTTATCATAAATAGGATGTCTATTTATTGGACTGCTTGGGTGTTTGGGTATCAGTGTGAAAGGTGTTGGCCAGTGGAATAATGGATATTAGGGCAGGAAAGGTATCAAATATTGGAATGCCCGGCAAGGCATGATCAGTGTAGAGAAACAGCTTGTTTGGGTGTATGTTGCCTGTTATCTGATGGGAAGTGGAGATATTGATGGTGTAGGATTTGGGGTGTTCAAGCAGACAGAGGTCAGGGGTACTGAGTATTCTGGTGCTTCGGTGTTGGCCTGTCTGGGTAATTAAGTGTCGAATGTTGGCTGGTGGGAAACAGGAATTACACAGTGGAGTATTGTGCCATCCCCTGAGTATTGGTATCATATTTTGGGTAAGAGGACTGACTTGTTTGAGAATTGCAGGATCATCGGGTTCAGTGTTGGCTGGTGGAGGGTTGAGGTTTAGGATGCTGGAGCACTGGGCCTCCACAAGTAGGGTGCTGGGGTGCTGGGCCACTGGGGCACTGTGCAGTCAGTGTGTCAGAGAGCTGAGCATAGATACAAGGGGACTAAAGGTACCGGGTGATGGAAAGGCCATGAACTGAGAGTCTTTTATGTAGGACTACTGGGTACCACGACCTCCTGCCCGAGACCAGGGACCCTCCCACCCACCGGCACTCACTTGTAGGTCCAGCAGTCGCTCATGAGTGTGTACATTTCGGGTGGACACTCTGGCGGGCACTCCATCCGCTTCCCCTGCTCGATGTAGGCCATGACCTCGGGGCCCTTCATCTTCTGCTCAAGCCAGAGCCAAGTGAACATGTGAGTCACCAGGGCCCCCTCCCCCACACCCCTGCCCCCAGCCATCTGCCCGCCTCTGCCCACGCCTGCCTTGTAGGGCTTCTGGCCGTAGGAGAAGGCCTCCCACATGGTGACCCCGTAGCTCCAGACGTCACTGCGGCTGGAGAACTTGCGGAAGTTGATGCACTCGGGCGCGTACCACTTGAGCGGCCACTTCCCCGCCGAGCGGGCCTGGGGGGTGGGAGATGCTGCTAGGACAGGACTTGGGGACCCTCCACCCACTGAGCTCATCCACCAGGGCACCCCAGGGCCAGGGGGCTCACGGTGTAGTAGCTGTCGTCGGCACCGAGCGCCTTGGAGAGACCGAAGTCGCTGATCTTGGCGTAGTGCCGGTTGACCAGCAGGACGTTGCGGGCCGCCAGGTCGCGGTGCACGAAGTTCTTCTCTTCCAGGTACTTCATCCCCATGGACACCTGGTGCAGCAGCTCCGCCACGTTGCTGACAGGGATCTCCTCCCTGGGGGCGCAGGGGAAGGCGGGGACAGCTGGGAGGGGACAGCCCAAGTCCCCAGGGAGGCACAGCCCACTTCTCTGATCAGCTGAGCCTGTGTTCAACAGATGCTTATTGAGCAGCTGCTGTGTGCCAGGCCTGGGGCTGGGGACACAGTGTGAACAAAAGGCACACACCTCTGCCCTCAGCCAGTCAGGACGCTTTACATTTCCCCCATACGTTGTGATTTCCAGACTTACTCACGCCTCTCCATGTCTGCTTCCGCCATCCTGGACCAGCCCCCATCATCACTAGCCTGGACCAGAACAGCCATCTCTGCCTTCACCCGCACCCCCACCATGGTCTGTCCTTCCCACGCTGGAGTCAGATCCTGCCCCTCCTCTGCTTACGACCCCCAAGGGCTCTCACCTCACTCAGAGTAAATGTCCAAGTCCTCCCAATGGCCCAAAAGGCCTGGCACCATCTGCCCCATCACCTCCCTGCCCACCTCAGCACCCCCTCCCCACTGCATTCCCTCTGCTTTAGCCGAGGGGCCCTACTCATGATTCTTCTACCACACCAGGCGCCTCAGGGCCTTTGCACTGGCTGTGCCCTCTGCATGGACTGCTCTTCCCAGAGCTGCACCTGGCTGCCTTCCCCAGTCTGCAGAGATTTACCTTCTCATTTCTCACCTCCCACCTTGACACTCCCAACCCTCTTTTCCATAGTACTTATCTTCCAACACATTCTATACTTCATTGTCTTCTAATTATTATTATGTAAAGCCTCTTCCCCAAGCAGAATTCAGGGCAGAGAGCTTTGTCTCTCTTTGCTGATGAATCCCAAATGCCCGTGATGGTTTGTGGCCCAGAGAAATTGCCCAAAAAACACTGAGAAATGACTGAGTATACGAGCAGGGGCTGGGAAGGCATGTGTTCCAGCGAGAGCACAGGTTCACAGTCATGTGCCCCCATGAGTGTCATGAGGGTAGGGTTTGAGGCGAGAGGGAACACAAATGAAACTGTAATTTCTTTGGATTAGAGGTCAGACAATTTTTTTCCATAAAGGGCCAGAAAATAAGTAATCCAGCCTTTACAGGCCACATATGGCCTCTGCCGCATAGTCGTCTTTGTTTCAGGTTTTTACCTTTAAAAATGCAAAACCAGGCAATACAAAACCAGCCTGGCCGATGTTCCTGGCTTTGCTTTAAGTCAGAGTCAATCAACCATTGGCAATTTCATGTAGGCTGTGAATTGGCCCAGGGAGCTGGGGTAGCAACAGCGACAGAGCTGATACTTACAAAGCTCTTAGAAGCAGTGCCAGACACTGTTGTGAGCACTTAATAAATATCAATTCATTTGATCATCACAAGAGCCCCCGGAGGTAAATACTGCGACACCAGGGTGGTACAAATGAGGAAACTGGGGCACAGGAGAATTAAGAGACTCGCCTGGGGTCACACTAGTCAGTCGCAGAGCTGAGAGTCAAACCTGGGGTCAGACTCTCATAGGTGTGAGTGTGGATGGCAGGGTGTGCAGGGGGCGGGTGTGAGTGTGTCTCTGAACACAGGGATATAGTGTGGAGCATACCTGTGGGTGGACAGGATTAGCCTCCCAGCCCCCAGCCCCAAACACCCGGCCGCCACCCCAGGGGCTCACTTCTTCCCCAGCAGGAACTTGTGCAGGGGTCCCCCGCCCGCCATCTCCATGACCAGCATGAGGGCCTCAGCCTGGCAGACGCCGATGAGCCGCACGATATAGGGGTTGTCCAGCTGGTGCATGATCTGCGCCTCCCGCATCATCTCATCCTTGTCCGTCTTCTCCGTGCTGTGTTTCAGCACTTTGATGGCCACATCGATCTGCTTCCTGCCACAATGCACAGAGGGGCACACATGAGCCGTCACGGGGCCCACCTGGTCCCCTCATTCCCCCTAACCTGCCTCTCTTCTCCCTGGACTTGTGAGGTGGATGCTGTGGTTTGCCTCCCAGATCTCACTGTAGGCCCTGAGCCGCCAGGAGTGAGGGCTAGGGACAGCTCACAGCCAAGTCCCTCACCCGGAACTGCCCCTCACTGGAAAGAACCAGCTCAAAGTGTCACCTTCCACGGGGGCAGCCTGTATCCAATGACCAGTCGATGCAGGGGACAACAGGGGCCCCTCTGCAGCTCAGCCCAACCTCTCCCCACCCCCGACCTGCTCCCCTGAGCTCCCCAAGGGAATTTCCCAGCATGCAATCTCTGTCCCAGCGCCTGTTTCCCAGGCAAACTGAAGTCACGGTGAGTGGCCCGGAGAGGCCACTCCCTGCTCTGCCCCCACACGGCGGCTGCCCAAGCACGCACTTGCGCATGCGGTAGACGCCCTGGCGCACTGAGCCAAAGTTGCCGCAGCCGAGCTCGATGTCGGCCATGAGGAGGTTCTCACGCTTCAGGAACAGCTTCTTATTCTTGAGCTCCTCGGGGTCGCTGTAGGGGCTCTCATACACGCTTGTGTCCATGGGCATCGTTCGCGGCTTCTCCGAGGACGCGAGGCGTGCTGGGCACACACACACACGGGCGTGAGCTCCCAAGTCGGGAGCAGGGAGGGGGACAGGGGGCCGAGGAGGGCGGGGCATCCTCGGCGGCCACAAGGCATGAGCACCACAAGGCGCAGGGGTGCACCATCCAGAGCGTGCTCGGCACATGGATGGTACACGTGTGTGTTCCTGTGGGTGTGCACATTCGTGTGTGCCCCTGGTCCATCTGCGAGTGAACTGGGAAGCCACGTCCAAGAGGACTCTAAAGGCATGTGCCTCTGTGTGCACATGTAAGCATGTGTGCCCCTGCGTGGTCATGCCATATGCACCTCAGCAAGCTCAGACACGTGATGAGCTTGGAGCATAACCGGCACATAGCAGGTGCTTAACAGATGTGTGTCTGTACCCAGGGTGGCCAGGCATGGCCAGGTATACTACCCTGCTTGTCAGCACACCCCTATGCACATACACAGAGGTGGGCGTGATGCGTGTGCCCATGTGGACGTCTGCAGGCTCACTGTTTGCACAGAGCCACCAGGCCCACCGCTGCAGGTCAGGCCTGGCCCACATCCTTCCCCTCCCCCAACACACCCAGGGCCTGGCCAGGACACTGCTCTGGGCCTGACACGGACCCCTCACACCTCCACCTCTGCCGGCTCACCTGGTTCGGGGGTGTATCCATCTGAGTTGAGAGTGTCGATCCGTCTCTGAGGCTAAAGGTCATGGGTCAGCAAAGGACAGCAAGCCCTGAGCTCGGGGCACACAGCCCCCCTTGGAAGACCCACTTCCTCTGGGGACTCCCAGGGACAGTGCTGGGGGACCGTGTTCTCTTCCACGGCAGCCCCGCCCTCCCCGCTCCCAGCCCCACCCTGAGAACAGGACCCACTGCCCACCCACCTCCATCCCTGAGGCCCCAACTCTGCGATGCTGCTGACTCACGTGGGTGAACGTGGATGGGTGGGCTGGCAGTGTGGGAGCAGCGGCCTCTGGGGGAGCAGAAGGGGCAGTGAGGGTGTGGGGCCGGGGCCTCCCGCTCCTCCGCCCCTCCGCCCCCTGCCGCGCCACTCACCTGAGCTGGCACTGTCGTTGGGACAGGCCTCCTTCAGGCAGTAGATGAGCCCATCCGCCTTCAGCTTCAGGTACTCCACTAGCTGTGCAGAGGGCAAGTCAGGGCCGGGGGTCCCCTCCTCCCCAGGGGCCAAGCTCCCGGCCACAACGTCTCCCCCACAACAGGGTGGGCGGGGGCTTACCTGCCAGAGCGTGTCAAACTTGGTCCCCTCGGGAATGCAGTACTTGCCCGCCTTGTCCTGGCTGATGAGGTAGTGGTACACGGTCTTCCCATAGATCAGCGACAGCGCGTACGTGCCCTTCTCCTTCCGGGGTCTCAGCCTGGCGGGGCAAGGAGGATGTCATCCCGACAACCACCTGGGCCCCAGTTCCCACACACACATACCCTGTGGGCTCTCCACCCCTCAGCCTCACAGAGAAGCAGCAGGGACTGCACGAGCCAAAGTTAGGCCCCACTCAACCTCCAGACCTACTGGTAACAGGCCGTGCGTGGGGCTGGGGCGGGAGGGGGTGGGGAGCAGAGAGGAGAATGGCAGTGTTGACAGTGGTCCAAGGACAGGCATGCGGCCATCCACAGGGGAATACTGGGCCACCCACAGCTGGACACTTGGCCATCCCTTGGGGGACATCTGGCCCCCCTTGGCTGGCTACTTGGCCGTAAGTGTGTGCTGGGGCAGGGAGACTCCTGGCCATTCATGGAAGGATATTTTTCCATCTATGATGGACACAGAGCCACTCATGGGAGACACACAGCCTCAGACTTAAGACCATTCTCTTGGGGAGACAAAGCTGATTCTACACACAGAGCAGTGAAGGGGAGCACAAGTCCGCGGCTCGCTCACA